AAAAAGGCAGGCGGGAGGGAGGGAGGGAAGGAGGGAAGAAGGGAGGGTGGATGATAAATGAATGGGTGGATGGATGAACAATGGGTAAATGATAAATAAAATTAATTAATGAATCAATGAACTGTAACCTACAGAAAAGGTTAGAATAGTAAACGGATTCACTTCCGAAAGGAAGCCCAGCAACATCATTTTCTCCTAAAGAGAGATAATGAGTTCATGGTCATCTGAATCACCTGGGAGGGAAAGAGTCAGACTGAATCTATGTCATCAGCAAAAGTCAGAACTCTTCAGAGGGAGCCACCCCTGGTGTCTGAGCTTCATTATATCCCCAGGATGACCTACCTGGTACTGTGGCAGGGATCTTAAAGATCACAAACTTTGTCTTCCCCTTGTCCAAAATGGATGTGCCTATGTTGAGAATATTTCCGGCTGAATCATAATGAGGATGCGATGTTGCCGTATTTATAGCCACGTATTTGCGATAATCAACCTGCAAAATATGAGAGGCACCTGGTTTTTAAACGGGGAGAAGTTGAAATCCTGTGAAACGCTGACTGGTTCTAGGTTCAGGGAGATGAAGGCTATTTTTGCACATTTTCTGATCTGAAAATAAGGCAGGCTTCACCTTTCAAGAGAAGGTTTACCCTTGTGACCTGATATAACATCATGGGGGCCCTCCTAGAGCAAATAGGTTGCAGGGGGGTGAGTGAGCTGTGGGCTTTCTGTGGCAGTTTTTCGGATCCTGCTGCCTGGCCCTGCCGGCGGTCCTCAGAGTGAAGAGAGGACACCTCACCACAGAGAGCTCTAAGCAATGACCTGTTCAGAGAGGCAACCATGGTGCTAATTTTGGCCACTGCTCTGTGTCATTCTACATAAGTCATTTAAATTCTCTCCTTTTGCATTCCACAGAGGCAGAAATCTCCAGGCCTCTCTCATAGTATTATTCCGGGAATGGGGAGGTTACAAAAACATTTGGTCGAAGTGAAGTTCAACTAGCAAGCTCAGTAGTGCCCGGCTCCGAACAAGCCACAACTGTGAAACAATAGGGTGGCCTGGTACCAGCTGTCTGCCCTTGCTCCCCAGGACAGCACAATTTCCAGCCAAAAGCCAGGCAGTACTCGTTCTCTCCTAGTCTTTCCTCTCCGCAACTTTGTGGATCGCATACATCAGTTAGATCTATGCCACCTAGCTTAAAAGGAGCTGGATATCACTTCACAGCTAAGAAAAGCACTCCTTTAACAGATCATTAAAATGTATTACAAAGACACTGAGGCTCTGAACAGCCGACTGGAGAAAATTGAAAGTGGGTCTATTGATTTTCACAAAAATGTTGACTTGATTCTGCTCAGGAAGGATATCTGCTTGGGCATTTGTTTTTGTATACTTGCTCTCTGCCTAATGCCTCCCTCTTCAGGTCAATACAAGGTAAGGCCACTGGGAGTCCTGGGAGGTCCAGCACAACCATTCATTTAGACAACTCATGGAGCTACCACTTAAAGCCAAGGACTATGGGCTCTATTAAGGGTTGAATTGTGTCTTCCAAAAAGATATGTTGAAGTCCTAACTCCTGGTACCTGTATTTGGGAATAGGGCGGCCTTATTAGATTAGGTAATAGATTAGGGTGGCCTTAATTCAATGATTTATATCCTTAGAAGAGATTGGAGTGATGCACCCATCTATCAGCCAAGGAACACCAAGGATTGCTGGCAACTACCAGAAGCTGGAAGAGGCAAGGAATGATCCTCCCCTAGAGAACACTGCCCTCCTTCAGAGAGAACATGGCCCTTCTGACACCTTGATTTCAGACCTCCAGTCCTCAGAACTGTGAGAGAATACATTTCTATTGTTTTAAGCCACCTAGTATGTGGTACTTGTTATGGTAGCCCTAGGAATTAATACAGCCACAAAGATGAAAACACACAGCCCTAGCCCCAGCCCCAAGGGAGCTTAGAATCTAGTGTAAGTGCTATGATGGGAAAACACAAGAGTCGGTGTCATTAGAGGAGGGGGCTCCACCCCATGAGTCCCTGCAGCGCACATGGTCTCACCCAAGGGGTTCCTGTCTCGAGTCAAAAACTGATGTTGGTTGTAGATTCACTGATACCTTTTCCAGAGTTTCCAGAGTCTGTGGGTTGATTTTCCTTATGTAATTGGTCTCTGAGGTCGCATAAAAGTCTTCTCCACACTTCATGATGTTAATCAGGCAGTTGTCTGTGAAATCTGGGATGGTGTGGGACAGGTAGGAGAAAGCTCTGGGGAAGAAAGCAAACCTAAGGGTCAGTGCTGTGTCTACCCAGCTGGAAAATTCTGCTTGAGATAGTTTTCGTTTTCCTACCACTTAAAATGCTCTACTTCAACTTAAGGAAGAAAAAGTACCAGGCTCCAATGGGTCACTTGAGGACTTAGATATCAAGTGGCCAAAGCTACCACCATATTGAATCAACTAAGGAGTATCTGGGACAACGTGGCCACCAACTGAGCCCTCCTGGGCTCTCAAAACTCCAAAGGTCTCCTGCACCAAAGCCAGAAATAGCTGGATGGTTGTTCTGGAGAAGTTTAAGGAGCTCTACAGAAATCATACATGTACCCATAATGGTCCCTGAAGACTAGCAAAGCAACTAATCCTTGCTTTTGGCAGGAATGTGAGTTCACACTGGTTACCTCAGATTTGTCTAGGAAATGAGTTGGGTTTTTTTGTTTGTTTGTTTTTAAAGAAAAGCAAACTAATTTTGAGTTAAGAACTCATAACTAATTTGATCAGAAGGCAAACTCAAGAAGGTAAAGGGATAAATGGTGACGGAAGGAGACTTGACTTGGGGTGGTAAACATACAGTACAATATACAGATGATGTATTATAGAATTATATACCTGAAACTTGAATAATTTTACTAACCAATGTCATTTATTTGGTTAATTTATTAACCAAAGTGAATTTTTAAAAATTCAATTTTTTAAAAAAAAAGGCAAACTCAAAGCAGGAAAAAAAATCCTGAATCCCTGTCTTGGTTAATGCTCCCCCTACTGGCAAGTCATGTAACAGCAAGGATGCCCCAAAGGGGTGGTTTTAAATTGACTCCCTCCCCTTCCCTCCCCTTCACTGGCTCTTTCCCCACCTGGAAATGAGTTCAGAGCAGTTGTGGAAAAGCAGAAGCAATCTTCCACCTCTGGGCCAGTCTGTCCCTAGCATATTTCATAACTCTTCCACATCTAAGGAGTATCAGGAAGGGGACACTGACATCAGGCCCGATTCTGTGGCCAACAATTTAATTGTCAAATATGTAATACATTCGTAGGCGTTATAACCCAGATGACTTAAAACATATACAACTAAAAATCTTCCCCTACCCTTTTCTCCCATTTGTCAGTTTTCTACCTCCTTTATGCATCCTTCCAGAATCTCCTTATGCATGTACAAACAAAAATATACCCCTTTACACAAAATATAGCATATTATTTGCTCTTTAAATTTTTATTTCTTGATTTGAGAGAGAGAGAGGAAGGGAGATAGGGAGACGCGGGGAGAGAAAGAGAGAGAGAGATCGATTTGTTGTTCCACTCATTGATGCATTCATTGGTTAATTCTCTTGTATGAGCCCTGACCGGGAATCAAACCTGCAACCTTGGTGTATCGGGGTGAAGCTCTGACTTACTGAACTACCCAGCCAGGGATTATTTGCTCTTTATATATCTTGATTTTTTATTTTTTTATTTAACATATCTTGGAAATCCTTCCATTTGATACACAGAAAACAACCTCTTTCCTTTTTACTTCTGCCTAGTATTTTCTTGCGTGGCTTTACTGTTACTTATTTAACCACTCCTCTGTCAATGAATATTTGGGTTATTTTCAGTTTCTCATCATAACAGATAATGCAGCCACAAATAACTCTGTACATTTGTCACTTCGGCATGAACAAGTATGCCTCTGGACTGAAGGGAATGTGCATTTGTAATTTTGATCGATGACTCCGAACTGCTCTGCCCCCAGCCGTGTGGGAGAATGCCTAATAACCTGACGCTGCTTGCCTCTCTTGCTCTCAGTGATCTAGAATTGCACAGTGAATATAAGCAAAGGCCAGTCACATGAAGTTTTCATCCACCCTAAAGGCCATTGTCAGAGCAACAAACACTGGTTGTTTTGACCATCAAGGATATCGAAAAGCATGAACAGATTAAAAATGGACAGTTACTTGGAAAATATGTTTTTGCCGGGGTCTGGATAGGCCATTGTTCCAAACTCGGACACCACAATCCTGTTTGCCTCGATATTGGCGTTGTAGGCGTCACTTCTCAGGTATTTGCTCTTGTAATAGACTTCACCTGAAAGAGAAGAAGCAGAATCATCCCAGGCTGACACCGTTACAGGGCTTCAATGTTGATTCCAGCCATTCCAGAGCTGAGGGGGACAGGCATGAGCTCTACCCAAGGAGATTCAGATCCCCACATGGATATGAACCCTTGCTCCACCATCTACCAGCCATGCACTTGACCTTGCATCACATGTAGGCTTAGTCTCCTTCACTGTGACATGAGGATCATGATACCTTCCTTACAGAGTTGCTGTGGCATTTAAGGCCTGTAAAGCACTTAGCACACAGTAGGTGCTCAATAAAAGCTACATAAGCTATTGAGATGCAGAATAGAATGGGCAAGGCTTTGGACCATTGTCACACATTGATAACTGATGGCTGCTGCAATTCTGGATTGTCCAACAAAATCCTGGGGGCAGGAAGAATCACCTAGGGGTTGGTGAGGCTACGCACACTCGCACACTCATCTTCTACCAAATGCCACACGGAACCTGCTCCAGGGACATCCTGGTCTCCCCCTGAGTTGGCCTATTCTTTCCTGGCCACTCCCTCTGAGGGTCACCACCCACAGGCACTGGCTAAGGTGCTTTGGGCCCTGTGGTGCTTTACTTAAAATGTTGAATTCTCTTTACTTGAAATATAAACACCCAGCCTAGGCTGGTTGTAGGCAAGGGGCCCGTTTCCTATAAACAGCTAGCGCCAGAGCACGGAGCACTTGGGGCCACAGGAAAATGTGTCTCTGGAACTGCTCAAGGCTGACACTCCACTTTCAGGCTGAGATTAGAGGAGAAGCCACCCGGCATTCCCTACCACTTTGCTCCTAGAAGAGTCCAATTAGCCACATTCCTTCCAAAGGAACACAAGTAAACAGATTCCTGCCTGGAATCGTCTAGAATGGGGTCTGGTTTGGGGGATGGGGATAGCTATATATATGTATACACACACACACACACACACACACATGCTTATGTATATATGAGAGTGTGTTTGTGTGTTAAAGCTAACTTTCCAAAAGTCTACTTTGGAGCTATAATAATTGAAAAAGCTTAGAAAGGCTAAATTCTTAAGAGCTCTTTTGTCTGTAAATCTTGGCAACTCTGGCTCTTGGAATTCGCATGCTCCAGTCCTCATGGGAAAACAGCTTTGCCTCTTATTAGAAAAGTATCAACTACATTGCTGAGAGAGACCTGGGTCATGCTTCTCTATGCCTGCTTTATAAAAATGTTTTATTTTGACATCATTTTAGGTTTACAGAAAAGAGCACTCCTGTATACCCTTCACTGGGCCCCACCTGTTCCAATCTGCCTCTTTTATTCAAATCTTTGTTAGTTTTTTAAAGTATTACATCTCTGGCCTCTGCTGAAGGCCACAGGCTATTTTTTTGTCTTTTCACTTTCTTGCTCCAAAGTCTTATTGGTTTGGCACTAACATAGGTTCTCCAAGTTGGCTGTATACTAGAATCACCTGGTGCTTTAAAAATACTTCAGAAGCCTGAGCCCCACCTCACAGCACCCTGATAACTTGGTGGGTGGGACTGGGCAGCCAGGCTGGAGGTCCTCAGTGAAGGTTTTTCCAAACGTCAGTGTATGCTCGGGGTCATCTGGGAAATGTGTTAGAAACACAGGTGCTCTGTTCCTACTTTCAGGGTTATGATTCACTCAAGCTGTGCACACGTGTGTGCACGCACACGCGTGTCGGAAGATTTGCAGCTTTAATTAGCATCCGAGGGGATTCCAATGCAGGAGGTTCACAAACCACCTTTTGAGAAATACTGACTTTGTGTTCTTTGCAAATCCAAGAACCCCGCTTTCCCTGTGCATGCCCTCTTGAGTCATGTATAATAAATAGTACTTAACATTTTTGGTTTATATTTCCATTGTTAGTCAATGGGGAGCCATTGAGACTTCTAGAGGAGAGAAGAGATGAAGCCAGGCTGTGCCGCACCATCACTGACAATCTGTCAGCCTCAAGAGGATTGGGCTGGGGAGATGGGGAGACGGTAGCTGGCAGGATGGGGGAATGGGGGCAGAATTGCATAATAATTAGGACTCAGGGTTCTGGGTTGAGAGAGTACTGGGTTTATATTTGACCACCACCACGTCTTAGCTGTGTGCATTTGGACAAGTACCTTGGCCTTTCTGGGTCTTAGACTCTCATCTGTAAAATCGAGGTGATAGCAGCGGTACCTACTTCAGGAACTATAGTGAGGACTGAGATGTGAATGGGCACAAAGCACTTATGCAAGTGGCCAGCAAGCACTCCCTGCAGTGAGCATTGAGATGGGTTGGGAAAGTATTGCTTCCTTCTACCAAAACAATCTTTACTTCGTTTGTATCATTTCAGCTCCATAAAGAGTTTCAAAGTGCCCCTCTGGGCCAGGCCCCATGCTAAGTGATGAAGACATAACAATTTGAACAGGGACTCTGAATTCTGGGACCTCCCGCCCTATGCTGGAGAATGGCAAGCTGATCGTTGCCAAGCAGGGTGAGGCATGCGCCCTCAACATGCCCAGGGTCCAGGGCAGGCCAGGGGAAGTAACTGGGTGTGCTCTTCATATTTCCCATTTTTCAGCCAGTCTCAGATTATGAATAAAACAAAATCTTTCATGCTACTGTGTGTGTGTATATGTTCTTTTTAATTGTTTAACTTTATTACTACCGCACCGTTTATACAATTACATATCATTTCAATGCATCCATGTGTATTATGATGTTTTGACATCTTAAAAAACATTTCTGCTGGTGAGAGACTGTCCCTCCCTAGACTAGCCAATTCTTGGAGGTAGCAATGGGCTTAGCATGTCTTTGATATGAAAAGTAACCAATTCAGAGCCACACCTTTTCTGTCTGGTTCATACACCCCAGGACGGAATATTCCTCTGCCTTAACCATCCCAGGGCTAGGTGCCAGGCCACTAAAGATCACTGCTATAGCCCATAGCCCACTGAAATTATTCATAGGAGCCAATCCTACGCTGTTTACCCTGCCCTGTCTTGCCTTTCCCTCAAAACCCCAATAAAGGCCTTGGCCTAAGCATTTTCCCTGCTCCTGTCTTCTCTCCTGACCACCCTGGTGTTTTCCCATGTGGCCCTGTGTGATGTGCTGTGCCTCCTACCCCTAGGACCTGTAAGTATAATAACCTTTGTTTTCCTGAGCCTCTCTTTGTCTCTTCTTGTGGTCATACCTGTCTGACTATCTCATAAAAGGATACAAAATGACTACTTACCTTTGACAATGAATTTTTAGTTTGAAAACCTACTAGAAGCCTTTAGAAATTCTAAACAGCATGGGATAACTTTAGTCATTTGCCTATTTATCCCATGTTTCCGTAAGACAGCCATGCCTCGGTCATTCCCTGCTGGTTCCCTTGTCCCTGGAGGTTTCTATGGAAGGATGCCAGAGCTACTGCTTGGTAAGCTGTGAGGGGGGATCACTTAAGCAACTGCTGTTTCTCAGGTAGTTGGGGGGGTGGTGTGCTGGGGTGAGGATGGGGGGACAGCTGCAAACTTAAACTCTGGACAATACAAGTTAAGATCTTAGCCCTACCTTGGCAACCTTGGATAGGCCACTCAACCTCTCCATTTTTGCATCTGCAAAGAGGGGACCGGAACACCTCCCACAGATCATTAAATGAGCACCAGCAATGGCCACAAAGGACCTGGTAGCCTGGTAAAGCAGAGCCTCATGGAAAGGAGGCCACCTTTCATGCACCTCATCCAGAACAACATTTGCTTCCCCCAGAATCACTGGTGACTTCTGTCTAAAAAAGAAGGAGGCCGTTAAGACTTCAGGCTGTCAAGAAATATGGAACCGTCCTCTCTATGGCTCAGTCTCAGCAAAATCTGTAAGTTTTTGCAAACACAGCTCATGGTTTTCACACATGGTATCTTTATTCCTGAAATGTCTGAGCAAGTCACTGGCATAGAGTCTGCACTCAAAAAAAATTGCTGACTGGCTTGAAAAAAATAATAGTTATGCAGAAATAATAGTTAATGCTTATGGAGCACGTATTATGTGACAGACAGTATACAAAGCTCCTTACACATATTAATTCCTTTAAATTCCACAGCAACTCCATGAGATATGCTACTGCTATATCTCCATTTTACAGATGGGAGGCTGAGACACAGAGAGGGCCAGTAACTTGGCCAAGGTCACACAGCTTAGGTGCATATTAGTTAGGATGGTGCAGCTGGGATTCAAACCCAGCAACGATGATGGTGGTTTTTCATCTACTGAGCGTCCCCGAGGTGTCAGACCCTTGCTAGACATCTATACTTCTAATCATCACAACAATTCTCCACGGAGGATGATTAAACTCTTTTTACTGATGAGGCCAAGGGAGGCGAAGTGACCATAGGTTGCCCATGCTAAAACACAGAGGTCAAAGAAAAATGTCACCAAGCTTAAGTTCTTGAACGTGAATTTGTATACTGTGTTCCCCAAGCCTGCCAAAGCCTCATGCAACCCATCCTGGATCTTTTTGAGAACCAGCTCACGCTGCTGTCATATAAACCAGTCCAATGGCCAACAGCAAAGTTGACAATCCACTTCTTGAGCCAGTACCCTGAACTCAGAGTTTCACTTTATTTGTAGCACTTCCTACTCTCTGCCCTATAGTCAGTGTCCACTCAGGGAGAGCTACTGAACGTATTGCTTGAGTGACATGGCTCTCCTGGGCCTGGCGAGCAATACATTCAGCTTTGTTCTTTTCAGCTCTGTACTCACTCTGTTGTGATTTGGTGCATGTTTGATTCCAAAGCCTGTAATCTCCCACCTGCGGTTGCCCACCTTATCAAGAATACATATTATTTTGCAAGTTGAACTCTTTGAAAAAGAACGTTGGCCACCTTTCCAGGGAGGCTTATGCTTATGGTGGGCTGAATAATCACCTCCCCAAGACGTCCAAGTCCTAATCCCTGGAACCTGTGAATATGTTACCTGACAGGGCAAAAGAGACTTCGTAGGTGTGATTCAGTTAAGGACCTTAAGAAGGAAGATTATCTTGGATAATCTGGGTGTGCCCAATGTAAGCACAGAGGTCCTTATAAGAGGGCGATAGGAAGGTTAGAGTCAGAGAAAGGTATGTGGTTATAGAAGCAGAAAGAGAGATAAAGATAGGCAGAGAGAGCGAGAAAAAGAGAGAGAGAGAGCTGGCTTTGAAGATGGAGATGGGGCCACAAGCCAAGTAATGCCAGCAGCTTCTGAAGCTAGATAAGGCAAGAAAATGGATTATCTCCTAGAGCCCTCGGAAAGAATGCAGCCCTGCCAACACCTTGATTTTTAGCCCAGTGAAACCTATTTTAGGCTCCCTACTTCCAGAAGTATAAAAAAATTAATTTGTATTGTTTGAAGCTACTACATTCATGGTCATTTGTTACAGCAGCAATAGAAAACTAATGTAGTGCTTTTACCATCTCTAATTGTGAAGCTGTGGAGCAAGGCTAGGCCATCAAACCAATGGTTGTATCTGGTCTCCCCCACTGTGTGCATCCCAGGCCCATTGCGAAGCAGTGTTCCCTGCAGCCATGTTGGAATCTTGCCTGTTAAGAGAAAGAATGTTTAGTTTCCAGTTTCTGTGTCTAAACCAAAAAGCTAGAAGAAATGGCCATGGAAAGGAATTGAGGCCACAGCCCCAGTACCACTCACTACATCCATTCATTTACCTAGCAGTCACTTCCAGAAAGTGTATCATATGCATGGCATTGTGCTAGCACTGAGGATACCAGGATGCATGGGCACCGTCCCTGCCCTTGAGTTGCTCTCCATCCACTGAGAGACAGAGGCAGAAGAAATCAACAGACGCTCGAGATAAACTGCGGTAAAGGCAATGCAACAGATTCAGCCAGCGGCTGTGGGGAACAGCCTCACCCCGAGGGGAGTGAGGGAGGGGGAGAGGAGGGCTGCTTCCTGGAGGAAGTGACTTGGGTGAGTCTTCAGGGAGAGTAGGTACTTGCCTCACAAAGGAAAGAACATTCTAGAGTTGTACTGTCCAATATAGTAGCCACCAGCCCCATGTGGCGACTGAACACATAAAATGTGGCTAGTACAAATGAGACGTGCTCTGAGTGTAAAATGCACACCAGCTTTCAGAGACTATGAAAAAAATTTAAAATATCGCATTAGCAATTTTTAAAATATTGATTACATGTTGAATTGATCATATTTTGGATGTGTTTGGCGTGTTAAATAAAATATACCACTAAAACGAATTTCACCTGTTTCTTTATACTTTTCTGAATGTGGCTATTAGTAAATTCAAAATTGCACATGCGGCATGCGTTGTATTTCTATTGGACAGCACTGCTCTAAAGATAGGGAGCTGGAGCAGACACTGTTGGTCCCCCACCCACCTCCCCTTGGCATTCACCTCCCCATGAAGGGTGCTTTCTGCAACTACCTGCAGCTCTCTGACTGAGGGCTTTGTTCTCACCCTGGGAGCTGCTCTGCCCACATGCTGGACAAGCTGGAAGCACCTTGGAGAGTTAAGGCCCCTGGAAGCAGCTCTCACACATCAATGGGCGGGGAGTTTGGGGTCAAATGCCACCACTTCCTTGCCCTGAGCTGGGACAGTGTGAGGCAAGTGTTATACTATTCCCAGGGGATTCAGCTCTGGCAGTTCCCAGTGCCCAGTGTCTTGACAATGCCTCCTTTTTGGGCTTCCCTCCCAGTGTTTCTTGGGATCGAGTCTGGGATAAACTATTTACACCTGAATGTTTGTCTCTGGAGGAAACCAAACCAAGAGATCAAAGACCAGGAGGCCCCTGTTTAGTGAGACTGGACGATAGTTTTTGAGTGAGGGCATCATAAATATGGAGGTTGGAGAGGTAAGTAGGGCCCAAGGGACAAAGGTCAATAAGAACACAGCTTTTTTTTTAAATCCTCACCTAAGGATATGCTTACTGATTTTAGAGAGAGGGGAAGGGAGAAAGAGAGAGAGAAAAAAAGCACTGATGGGAAAGAAAAGATCGACGGGTTGCCTTCCACTTGACCCCGCAACTGGGGATGGAACTTGCAACCTAGGTATGTGCCCTGGCCGGGAATTGAACCCACAGCCTTTCGGTGTATGGGATGATGCTCCAACCAACTGAGCCACATTGGCCAGGGCAGGGTCAGATGTATTTGCAATTTTTTTTTTTAATCCTGACCCAAGGATATTTTTTCCATTGCTTTGGGGGTTGGGTGGGGGGGTGGAGAGAGAGAGAAACATCAATGTGAGAGAGGAACATTGACTGGTTGCCTCCGGCATGAGCCCCAACAGGGACCAGGGATTGAGCCTGCAACTGAGGTACGTGCCCTTGGTCAGATTTGAACCTGGGACCTTTCAGTCCACAGCCTGACACTGTAACCACTGAGCCAAACTGGCCAGAGCTGCAATTTTTTTTTTTTTAATTGAGAAAATTCACATAACATAAAATCCATTAAAGTGTACAATTCAAGGATTTTTAGTATATTCCCAGTGCTGTACAACCATCACCACTATCTAATTCCAGAACATTTCCATCACCGCCAAAAGCAGCTCTGTACCCACCCATTAGCAGGCACTCTCCATTCCGCAGCCCCGGCCCCTGGGAATCACTGATCTACTTGCTGTCTCGAAGGATCTGCCTCTTCTGCACATCTCATATCAATGAAATATGCTCAGAGTTGGGGTTTCAAAAGTTGTCTCTGACTGTGGTGTGGAGTGTGGACAGGAGGAAGAGCCAAGGGGAGGGAGGAAGACCAGAGAGAAGACCAGGGTGGTAGCAGTGGGGAAGGAGAGAAATGATGGAGCGTAGAGACTTGGAGGACACAACTGATAGGACTCAGAGTTGGACTAAATATGGGGGGAGAGGGGAGGGGAACATTAAAAAAAATACCAGCCAAGTCACTTGCCTTGGGCAGTTAAGTGAATGGGGGGGGACTATTCACAGAGACATGGGAGACGGAGCAGGTGAGGCAGAGCAGGGAGAGGTGAATTGGAGCATATAGTTAATGCCATAGATACACAATAAGAACAGCATTCATTGAGCACTATGCAATGTCCAAGGCAAATTCTCAGCTGAAAATCTCCAACCGGACTTTCCTCACAAAGAACAGTCACTGTTGTCCCCTCCTTGTAAAAGCCATCCAGTCCATCTCTCCAAAGGTGAACCTGCCCATGAGCCTGAGTTGCCTGCCCCACGCGCTGTTCTCAGGGCACCCAGCAAGCGACAAGGTGAGGACCAGCGAGTTCAGACCCAGTCACTGCCCTGTTGTCTAAACAAGATGGTACCAGAAAGTCAAGTTGCACGTAGAAGAGGAAAAGCAGAGACATAAATGAGACACAAAGCCTGCTGAAGGAATGTTCCTGCAAAGGCTCCCGCTCCGGGTTTCTTGTAGTGGCTCTGCAGGTACTTGCATGCCCAAATCGCCCCATGGTACCTGAGAGGAAATCACATCAGGTTCTCCATACCCTCTGGCAAGCACGTGCAGGAGTGGGAGCTCACCCCCACTTCTTGGACCGTTTTGAAATTAATTCAGGATGCACACATTTGCACAAATACAACACCCAGTTGGATTGGGTCACATTTTGCAGAATAATCCCATTGCCTATGTGCTGAGAACAGCATTCCCAGGATTTCCTCCCTAGAAGTAATGACAATGACCCTCTCTCCTTGGAAACTGAGTTATATATAAAAGCACACCTAGATTGTCACAGAGAATGTGTCTGGAATATGGGTCATTTTCTCCCAGATAATGTTTTCCAAAAATAATTTACAGTAAGCAGAAAAAAGCACACATCTAAACATAAAAGAAGAGGCATTCATTTATACAAAACTCTCACCTGTGACTTTGGCCCTCACAGGCTCTGGCTGTTCTTTCTTATTTCTGCCAAAAACTACATCCATCGTAGAGGCGCGAGCGAGACTGACACTGAGAGTGAACGGACGCTCCTCTGTGTTCAAGGCAACTACTCCCGGGCTCCTCCTTTCCTTTCCTTCATGCTCTCTTGCAGCTTCCCTCCTGCGCCCCTGGTTTCTCCCTTTGCTTTTTCCCTGAGGGCCTGGTGTCTCTTCGCATACCAAGGGGAAGCTGCACCTGGGTTACTTACGTTTAGTCAAAGGTCAGCTCCCCAGCCACAAGTTCTAGTTAATCTTTAACCCTCTTATTGTCTCTCCCCTTCCAGTTTCACTTTTGGTTTAACCAAGAAAAGCTCGTTTCTAGCTGGGTTTAGACTGGAGAGATAATTTAGCAGTGCACTCTGCTTTGGTGTGCTGTCTGAAACAATCCGGTCAGAAGGTGGAGGTGGTTTATAATCAGAAGAGAGACTGTCAGGACCATCACAGACACCTGGAGTCAATGATGAGCACTCATATTGGCTTGAAGAAGAAAAAACACACCTGGAATTAGGGGCCCCAAGAGCACGTTGATCACCAGAATTCCTGCTGCACATCATGGGAAGTTCTGCAGAGACAGGAAAGGTTGTTTTTTTAAATAAAGGTCACTGAGCCTCCCCCTCCCCTCACCCCTCGCCTCCCCAAAAAAATCATACATAAAGAGCCATTTAATTCATATTTCTCTTTTGGAGAAGTAAACATAAAATATTTCATGTACCCATTTAAACAATGAATGCAGGAAAACAAAAACAAACTTCAGCTCAACTTCCTGGCCTATCAAGAGAGAGAAACGATGCCTGAATTTGATTTTAGGGTCTCCCTCTATTTGTGCATCTTGATGCGATGTCACTGCCTAAAATCTGTATTCAGTTGCTATGAATGCTGGGTCATGAATTCATGAACTCACGCCGCTTGAAGAAAGGACCAGCCATTCCCTCTCTGGGTAGAGTAAGGAAAGGGGTGGTGAGGCCGCTGAGTATACTGTCAGGTCTGGGCCGAGACTGTTCCAGTGGTTCAGAGCTTGGTCCTGACAGCAGCCGGCTGGGCTTCCCTCCTGGCTGCACGTTCCACTCACCTGGCTGGGCCCCACTCCAGACCCACCGATTCAGAATCCCTGAAGATGAAGCTCAGCCATTTCAAGTCCTTAAAATGTCGCTAGATGAATCTCTGTGTGCAGCAGACCTGAGAAGTCCAGGTCCAGGGGAAGATGCTACGCATTTGTGTTGACACTAGATTCACATTCCTTCCTTTTCTGTGTGACTTATTCTGTTTGAGCCTCTATTTCCTTAACTGTAAAATGGGGGCATAATGATATCAAAATCTCAAGGTTATTGTAAATCAGGGGTCTAGCAAAAGCACCTGGCCCCAAACAGTTACCCATCAACGTTATTGCCCTATTCTTCCCCATTCTCTCAGAAGGCACTTCCCTTTGACCTACATTTTCCATTAAGTCCCACAATAACTTGCCAGTTTATTCTGCTATCTAGTTTAAACATGTGCATCCATGTCAGGGTTATTTATTCTCGGGTTGTGAAAGCTGCGTCCTTATGAGGATTAAATGAGGATGTCTGGCATACACTGAGGGCTCAGGGAAAAAAATCATACCACCAGGGGCAGCAGCTCTGGTGCAGAAAAAAAAGAGCTCAGGGCTTAGAGATCAGAAGACCTGAGTTGGGATCTCAGCCCTGCGACTTAAAAACTCTGTGACCATTGTCACATGATTCCTCTGAACTTCACTTTGCAAAACAGGATGGCAATACCTATGTCGCAGAGTTTGTTGGGAGGATTATATTGAAATTTTAAGTGAAAACATGACTGTGTTCTCCTTTCTTGTCCATTTTGTGTCTTTAGAAAAGCAAAGGCCCAGCCGGGCGTGGCTCAGCGGTTGAACATCGACCTAGGATCCAGGCTATCAGGGCTCGATTCCCGGTCAGGGCACATGCCTGGGTTGCGGGCTGCAGCCGATCAATGACTCTCACATCATTGATGTTTCTATCTCTCTCTCTCCCTCTCCCTTCCTCTCTCTGAAATCAATAAAGATATATTTAAAAAAGAAAAAGAAAAGCAAAGGCCCCCAACCATTGAGCTCATTCTCTGAGTCAAGTGCTTTGCAAAGTACTACGCATGTACCAGCTTGCTCCGGCCTTATATAATCCTATGAGATGAGTATTCTTAGCATCATTTTAGAGATGAGAAAACTCAGGGAAGATAACCAACTTGCCTTAGGATATACAGCTTCTAAGAGATCGAATTAGGAAGCCAAGCCAGGCAGCCTGACTTCAAAGTACATTCTCTGTGACAATTCCACACAGCTCTAATGCATGATGGATGTTTGCTAGATTTAAAAAAATATGTTTTTATTGATTTTAGAGAGAGAGGAAGGGGGAGAGAGAGAAGGAAATATATATCAGTTGCCTCCCAAGCCCACTCTGGGCATGTGCCCTGACTGGGAATTGAACCCCTGATCTTTTGGTGCATGGGATGACACTCAACCAACTGAGCCACACTGGCCAGGGCTGTTTGCTAGATTATTACTGAATGAAGTACCAGGTGGTTGTGTGAAGGGTGGACCATGAGAGAGCCAGTTTTGGGTTGATATCATTGCTTTGTTATATAATACTGAGGAACCAAGGCAAACTCTCTTCCTTTAGGCCCCATCTGCATCCGGGGGATAATTATAAGGTGAGATAAGGATTTTTTTTTATAATGGTGATAATATATTGATCATAATGATAAATATCTATCTTAGTTTTGTAGGGCTACCATAGCAAAGTACCAGAGACTGGGTGGCTTAAACAACAGAAATTTATTTACTTATATTTCTAGAGGCTAGGAAGTCAAGATTAAAGTGTTGGCAGGGCTCATTTATTCTGAGGCCTTTCTCCTTGGCATGCAGATGGCCATCTTCTCACTGTGTCCTCACATCGTCTTCCTTCTGGGGGCATACATCTCTGGTGTCACTTTGTGTGTCCAAATTCCCTCTTCATATTAGGACACCAGTCAGATTGGATCAGGGCCCACCCTAATGGACTCACCTCTTTAAAAGTGCTATCAGCCCTGGCTGGGTAGCTCAGTTGGTTAGAGCATTGTCCTGATACACCAAGATTTTGGGTTCAAATTCCGATCAGGGCACACACAAGAATAAACAAATAAATTATCTTTCTCTAAAAAAAACCATCAATCAATAAAATAAAATAAAAAATAAAATAAAAGTGCTATCAGTCACATTCTGAGGTATTAGGGGTTCGGGCTTTAACATATGAGTCTTGAGGGGACACAATTCAGCCCATAACAATATCATGAAGGCTCAACAAGTTGACAGGAGATGCTTTGGTTGAAAGTAACAGAGTATGTGCTGAACCCCTGAAGATGTGCATTCATCTCGGACAGCTAGTCACCTGGGGGCCCTGGGTAGCTCAGAAGCTCATCTGAGCCATCTCACCGGGTTCCATTCCATCTACCACATTACCGTTTTCAGATGGCTGGTTTCTCATCCTTGGGCTTGTTTAGCTTTGCTAATGAATGACTGCCTTCACTCCAGGAATCGCCCTGGCATAGTAATATGCAAAAGAACGGACATAAAGTGGAGACAAAGGAGACATTTTCTTTTCACATCTCTTCCCTTTTAAACCGTAGGAAAATGTTTCCTAGAATTCCTGATTTTTTCCCTCAGTCTCACTGGCTGAACTGTGTCACATGACCACCCCAGACCAATTCCTGGCAAGGAGGAACAAGAGTGCCCCGATTTCCTTAAATCACCTATCTCTTCCGGGGGCAGCGCGTTGTCACCTGAATCATATCAGGATTCCGTTACCAAGAAAACAGGAGGGAATGGCCTGGGGTAGGCAGCCTACAGGCAGGGCAGCATCTATGCACTCTCACATTCATTCAACATATAGTTACGGAGTACCTACTGCACGCTGGAAATAAAGCAGGGAACAAAACAAGAAAATAATTCTGTGCCTTCTTAGAATTTGCACCAATTATATGCCAAGTTCTGGGGATACAGAGGTAATTAATGAGACTCCATTTCTGCCTTCTTGGGCTCCCGTTAGGTTCTTTTCATTTGGGGGCCAAGTCTGCATATCCCAAAGGACATGAATTTCCCAGGGGGGTTGGGGGTCTTGCAGGGGTCCATGGGACTGCCTTCATGTTGAACCCCCACCCTCCCCCTTTATAAACAGAGATAACAAACAGCAGCTGCTCTTCCCCCAAGACGCTCTGGCATTGTTCTGAGCCTGTGGAAGCCTGACCACTGCTCTTAGGTCTTTACTAACATGGGAAGGGTGGGACGAGGGACATATCAATCTCCTGGCAAAGGCCATTCACTGGACACTTGACATGTGCCAAATACCATGCTAAGTGTCTTATTAGCCGTCTTTTATTTAATCCCTATAGTCCTCTGCAAGGAAATCATTAGCAATCTTATTTTTACAGACTCAGAGATGTGGAGGAACTTGATCAAGGTCAACAGCTAGTCAGTGCATAGTCTTCCTTACTACACAGTAACACCTCCCACCTTTTGAAGTTGCTGGTTGAGTAGATATGAGGAAAAGTGGGTATTCCTCAGACAATGTCTATAATGCATTTGCTGCCTTAAATGGGATGAAAACCAGCCAGTGCATAAGAGAACAGGGCAATGGGAACGTGAAGGGAAGTAACTCGTCTTATACAGAGTTTCCACAGCCTTCAGAGGGCCTGAGATGCTCACAGGGTGAGCAGGAAGGCTTTGTCCCCTCCCTTCAGTAGGGAGAAGGAAGGGTGTTCACAGATGGGTGACCCCTGCTCTGGACTTGCACACACCGTATCTTCTAATCCTGGCATGGACCTGGCAGGCACTGTTATTAGCTCCTTTGTATTGAGCAAGCAACTGGACTGTAATGAGGTTGTGCCCTGAACCAGAGATTACACACGTGGCAGGGGTGGAAGATCTGAACTGTGGGATCCTCTTACTTCGTAACGTGGGGTAAGGATTCGGGAAGAGGAAGCTGCCCTTCTCTGAGGCCACTTATTCCATGGATGTGTGGGATCCATAAAACAGAAGTAAAAGCTGAATTCAAAAAGAAACATTTTTGTGCTATGAAAAACAGCAGCCTTATTTTGCAATTCTATCACAAAGTTATTGCTTGAAGTCTGTCGATATTTCCCTTTCGTTAATAGTTCCCTTTCGGAAATTATGTTATCATATCTAAATTACTTTGCACTATTCCAATAAAGTTAGCTTCTAAATGGTACCTTTGATTAGCCAGGGTGATACGCTGAGCAGATAATGTGGAAATCTGAGATAGCAAGGTTCAAGGTAGCAGGCAAAGTCCCAGCAAAGGTGGCAGCAGCCTCCCTGAGGGAGAAGCACTGGTGGTGAGCGCCAGAAAACCTGCACTCTCTGCAGGCCTGTCCAGGAGGCAGGCTGTAGGGAGTAGTGGGAGAGCCCACCAGGACTCCTGGAGTGAACACTTCACCATTGAAGGACAGACCACACATTAGGCGATTAATGCTTAAAAGCGTTCATTAATTCCATAAAGTCCTACTGGACAGCAGAGACTAGTGTCATATTGGGTATTAGTGAGGAAAAAAGGGAAATCATAGCTTCTGACCTCAATGACTGAGCTCCTGAACTCAGAGACTAATAAGGGAGAAAGGAATGCAAATAGTAGCAGCAGTAGTAGTAGTAGTAGTAGTAGTAATAATAATAATAATATGCCACACTTGGGAGGTAGAATTGATGAGATTGAAATACCAAGGGCATTACTGTTAGAAAAGGAAGTAGCTTCTAATGAATGAGCTGGAAGACTTCAATTTTCCACCACATAATCAGGGCCCAATCAATGAGGCTGGACAAAAAATTCAATTTAAATAATAACTACTAGGTTATAGCCTGGACTGTAGTCCAGACATTTCTACTTCCCAAATAACCTTTCCGAGTGTTCCTCTCTTCTCCAGCCCCCCAGATGCTGTCCTCCTCATGGGTCTCCCTGACTTCAGTCCCAACCCCTCCAGTCTACCTTCCCTGCTGCCCCCAGGTGACCTGGTTGAAATTCAAACCCAATCATGCACTCTCCTGTTTAAAATCCAGAGTTTAGCACAGTGCCAAGCACATGGCCTCCTAGTGCTATATCACCTTGTATGAGTTTCCTGGGGCTGCCATTGCAAAGAACCACAGACTCGGTGGGAACAGACCTGTCTAAGCTTGGGGTCTCCCAGAAGCAGACCCCAAGACAAGGATTCAAATGCAAGTGGTTTATTTGGGACATGGACCCAAGAAAGGCCAGCAGCAGAGTGGGGAAGTAAAACAGGGAAGGAAGACATTAGGTACATTGTCAAGGCCGTTACCATCACCGGCAACCGAAGTTGTCTGGCTGGGGGACTTGGGAGATGCTGTGAATGTGCCGCAATTATTTTGAGAGAGCTGGGGGATTGGTTCAGCATCTCTGGTCAGTCAAGGGTGAGAATTTCTCCTGAGAGGCGTTAACTTCCCTCCTGTCCCTTGTATGCAGAGGAAAGCAAAGGGCCACAGGTGCATGCATTTTGAAGCCTTGCATGATGAGTGTGATGGGTTAAGGTGAGACATTGACAGTGTCAACGACAACCCTCAGGAGATAACTCAGCCCAGGTTAAAGGGTAAATGCGAGAGGATGCTCAGTGTTGTCTAGAAGAGCAACACTGAACACATGACAAATGACAAAAACCACACAAAAATAGCAACGTGGGGATGGTTTAATAATGCCCATTTTGAGAAGGGAGGCATAGCTACCACCATGCCAATTGCAAAGCCCTTGAGCAGCACAGGAAAGGCTTACCATTGAGTGCTAAGCGGGAAATGAGGGTGCAATATACACTAATCGTATGTATGCCATGGTTGTGCCTGGGTGAACATCTACTTCAAGGCAAGAAGCATTCGAAGGAACCAGAAAGAAATGAAAATGTATTAGGGTGATGGGACCCTGAGAATTCTTTTGCTATGTTGTCTTTTCAATTGAATGGAGAGCAAAGATTTACTATGACTCATTAAAAACATCAACTCACATAGAGCGATGTACTCCCCCTGCTTCTCTGCCACTATTTCCTGCATCTCTTCCCAAATAAACTGCTAGTGCTTGAATCCTTGTCTCAGCTTTTGGGGGAACCCAAACTAAAATGGGTCTAGTCCCAAGACTGTGGAGCTTGGGCCGCAGGGGCAGAGCGTGAATATCTTTATAGTGCTTTTCATGGTTCTATCTAAACTAAACTCCTTCTCTTTCTGTTTTCATTTGCTGATCCCAAAAATCTGGATTTGGCGGCTCAGACAACTGCATCAGATCACTGGAAACACTCACATGCATCCAGCCATGTCCTGCTTCCCTTCTTCATGTACACAGAGGTTAAGGCACCTTGAGAGTTGACATCAAGATAGACGGATTCCGTGCCCAGGAGTCTGCAATTTATCAGAACGTAAAGAATGTGAAAATGGAATTTAGCTTGCAGATTGTGTTCCTTATCAAATGTGTCCAAGCATGTTCCACAACTGACATAAATCAAGCCTTTATCCAGAAGATACATTAACTCTTTGTGAGGCTTTCCACATAGCTTTCTAATGGAAATCATCAGAGGCTTGGTTCCCACAGATAAGAGACCAGTTCTGCCCGGCCTGTGGGTCAGCTCTGTCTGGCAGGGCTGCTCCAGAGGGCTTGCAAGGGCTTCTGGGAGAGCAAGAGTCAGCCTCAGGGACATTTTGGGGGATGTGTTTGGAAATATTGTCAGGGACCAGTTCATAAAGAGCCTTGTATACTAAGCTAAGAAGTTTGAACTTGATCCATAGACCATGGACACCCACTGGAGGGTTTAGACACTGGATGAAGGTGGGCAGGTTTGAAGTTTTTGAAGCTTGTTTTCATGATAGCATCAGATAAATTTTGTAGGACATTTTTATTCTCTAACAGGCAAGAGTGGTAATGTGATAAATGAGAGGGGAGAAGAATTTCCATTAGGACTTAGGCCATGCTGGAGAGAATGTGACTATCATTTAGGCACAGGGGCCATTCTAGACAATAAGGTTGGATATGAATGCAACCTGGTTTTTTTACAATCCCATAACTCTAACTTTCCTGCCATTTTTCTTTTATCACTTACTTCCCACATGCTGATGGCTTCTAATGAAGCATTTAGCGTTCAATGGTGACGACATAAAGCCCATAGCTAGGAATTTTTATCAGAAGCTAACAGTTGACCGAATGACAAAAAGCCAGGCGACATAGCAGCTTTATCTTTCTCTAGAAGACCATTTTGCCAATTAATTGTATTTGAAACTGGCATTAAACAAAGGGCTGGGGGAAGCAAAACAGCAGACACATTTATTCTGAGCCATTGTTTCTTACACAAGAGGTAGTCGCTATTATTTGATGCAAAGAGAGAAGGAAAGATGGATGGCAGATGGCTGTGAAGGCAAGAGCATATGAAGGACTGAGAGCCAGCTCCACGCAGACTCCTCAGCCGTGGTTCAAGGATGAGCACAGCAGGCCTGGTCCTCCTGGGGCTTGCTCTGAGGTTTACCGCCACTACTGCTAAGCCAGAGGAGGGCGGCTTTTGCTCTAAGAGCCAAGTGGCTTTCAGAGACTCTTGCTATGAATTTGTGCCTTTTGGCCGCTCTTTCTATGGTGCCCAGAACTGGTGTGAGGGGCGAGGAGGCCATTTGGTCTTTGTTCGTGATGAAGGCACCCAGCAGTTTCTACAGAAGCACATCTCTCAGGACAGGGAATGGTGGATTGGACTCACAGGGAACTCGGCTCAGAATGGAACCGCAGAAGGTAGGTGCTGTGATAACTATGTTTTACAGGAGTTTGTGGCTGCAATCTCACCACTGCTCTCTACCCAGAGCTCCATAAAACACATTAATATGTCCCATTCCCACAGTAAGAAAACCCTCCCTTTTGGTTGTTTTGTGGATCAAATGAAATAATTCATGCACAGTATTTAGCACAGAATCCGTCACATAGCTGACACTCTAGAAACTTGAGTTGCTTTGCATATGCCTAATAATAATATTATATGTGAATTCTTTGGTTCTTGCTAAAATAGTGTCCAGCACTCTCCTGAATGCTTCATGTTTGTTATCATGTTGAATCCTCATGATAACTGATAATATAATTATTATTACTGTCCCTAGTTTACAGGTGAGAAAACTGAGCCTCAGGAAATAATTACTAAGCTATTTTCAAAGCACTTCCACATGCCTTCCCCACCCCACCTCCACCCCCTTGTAGGGCTCAGTTCACAAGGGATAGTCTCATTTCAATTGTTCTCCTGGGAACTCTCACTTACCCTTTACTCTGGGACGGCTCCTTCCCCCAACCCCGGCACAATCAGGTGAGTCCTTCTCTGTGCACTTGTAGGACCCCTTTGGCGTGACTTTAGTTATTTAGGTGTCTTCCCCCATAGACAATAAGCTCTTCAACGGAAGGAACCATATTCT